GAGCTGGAGGCTAAAGCCCTAGCTGCCCTCTGAAGGACACTGACAGAAAGTGGAAACAAAAAGGAAGTCCCTTCCCTTCTCCCACCTTCCATTGTGAGAACAGGCCTGGGAGCCAGCCTGCGAGGAAGCCTGAGAAATTCACTTTGCAGAGTTCTGGCCCCCGTGCCACAGAGCAACCAGGTACAGATGATGGGCTTGGGGCCACTGGACAATAAGTAAATCACTAGAACAAGTCGAGTCCAACTCATAGCAACCCTATAGGACAGAGTAGAGCTGCCCTATAGGGTTTCCAAGGCTGTACATCTTTGCAGAAGCAGACAGCCACATATTTCTCCTGCAGAGTGACTGGTGGGTTCGAACCTCCAACCTTTCAGTTAGCGGCTGAGTGCTTAACCATTATGCCACCAGGGCTCCTTTAGAATAAGGCACTTTCTCCAATAAATAAATAAGTTTTAAAATGTGTGTTAACTAACTAGATAGTAGATAAGAATTATCTTAGGCGAAGGGAAGGACAGCACACACTACAGCGGAAGTCAGCACAACTGGACTAAACCAAAGCTAAGAAGTTTCCTGAATACAATCAAATACTTTGAAAGACAGAGTAGCAGGGGTAGGGGGTCTGGGGACCATGCTTTCAGGGGACATCTAGGTCAATTGGCGTAACAAAGTCTATTAAGAAAATGTTCTGCATCCTACTTTGGTGAGTGGCGTCTGGGGTCTTAAAAGCTTGCAAGCGGCCATCTAAGATGCATCAATTGGTCCCAACCCCCTGGAGTAAAGGAGAATGAAGAACACCAAAGACACAAGGAAAGTATTAGCCCAAGAGACAGAATGGGCCACATAAACCAGAGACTTCATCAGCCTGAGACCAGAAGAACTAGATGGTGCCCGGCTACCACCAATGAACATCCTGACAGGGAACACAGCAGAGGGTCCCTGAAGGAGCAGTAGAAGGATGGGGTGCAGAACGCAAATTCTAGTAATAAGACCAGACTTAATGGTCTGACTGAGACTGGAGGCGCCCCGGAAGGCATGGCCCCTGGACTCTCTATCAGCCCAGAACTAAAACAAGTTCCGAGGCCAACTCTTCAGACAGGGATTGGACTGGACTGTGGGACATAAAGTGATACTCGTAAAGAGTGTGCCTCTTAGTCAAGTAGATACAAGAGACCAAAGGGGCAGCTTCTATCCAGAGGTGAGATGGGAAGGCAGAGAAAGTTAGGAGCTGGTTGAATGGTCATGGGGAATCAGGGGCGGAAAGAGGAGTGTGCTGTCGCAGAATGGGGTGGGCAATTAGGGTCTCATAATAATGTATGTATAAAAATTTTGTATGGGAGACTAACTTGAAATGTAAACTTCATTTAATTACAACAATAAAAAAATAAAAAATGTAAAATGTGTGTTAAAAAAACATCCGATGGGTAGGATGAATATGCAGTCTTGGCTCCCATGGAGCATCTCACTGCAATAAGTATGATCCTAGAATATTTAAAGATACATATTTTTTAGATAATGTGGTTCCAAAGTTCAAGCCAACTACTCTATCTTATGTTTTTCCTGGTGAGGTAGTGCTGAGGGTGGTCTTGAGGGAACTGGTTGCTTTGGATCCAGAGCAAAGTAAATATGACTTTATAGTAACATCAGAGTCTCCGAGTGGTGCAAACTGTTATACATGTGAGTACTAAGTGAAAGGTTGGAGGTCCAAACACACAAAGGCACCTCCGAAGAAAGTCCTGGCAATGTGCTTCCAAAAGATCACAGCCTTGAAAACCTTATGGAGCAGTTCTACTCTAAAACACACGAAGTCACCATGAGTAAGACTCAACAGCATTATTTTATACAGATGTTGGAAGGCTGAGAGAGCAATAAGAGGATGATGACATTTTTTGCTTTTTTTTTAATACTAAAATTCATGGGCAACATTAAGGAAAACTTTTTTCTTAAAATTACAAAATAATATATGAACACAGCTATTGTAATGGATTCATATAATATAGAAGTATACAAAACAAAATATGAAAGTCCCCTTTCTTCCCACCCCCAATTCCTACACTCCTCCCCAACGGTGGTCATTAGCAATAGTTCATTACATCGTCTTTTATTCTCTCAAGAGTAATTTTGACTACAGATGAGTTTTACATACGAGCTTTAGACCCTAATTCCTCACTTCCAGATGGTAGATTGTGACTTCCCTGTATTGTTATTTAACTTATGTTGCAAAACAGTCAAAAAGAACTTAAACTTAATCCTTCATATTATGTAAAATATAGTTGCTTTCTCATTCTTTAAATTAAAAATGAAAGAAAGAAAATTAAGTTGTTATTTGAGATTTTACTCCTAAGATTTAATTATTTATTGCCTATAATACCTGCCTACGTGTACAGAGAACCAAAAGGTCAGCAGTTTGAATACACCAGCTGCTCCTTGGAAATCCTGTGGGGCAGTTCTGCTCTGTCCTGTAGGGTCGCTATGAGTCGGAATTGACTCGATGAGTCGACGACAACAGGTTTGGTTTTTAGTTTTGGGTATGAGAAAAAATAAGTCTAACTGCAAATGGCAAAGCATGTGTCTCTGCCAAGTTGAGAGAACTGTTTTAGAGCAATGCAAACCAGATGAATTATTAATATGCTTTGAAACAGGACTTTGAGAAATAAAAAGGTCACATTACCTCTGATTTATCATCAACTGACTTAAAACAATAAAGGGAAACTGTGGAGATAGTACTCAATACATTAGGGCTTTGTAAACTTTATTTTGATGCCCTTGAAGTCAGCATCATGCATATTTGGGAAGAGATTGTTTTGGGGGAATTATCTCAAGTCAAAACTAATGAGCCTACAGAGCTGATTTTATTGGGTTCCAAAACAAAGAAGTAATACAGTCACCGTTTTCCAAACATCATACATTAAAACTAGAAATTAACAATAGACAGATAATGAAATCTTCTAAATAACATCTGAATTAAAGAGAAAATTAGAGATTATTGTGAAACAAATGACATAAATCGTCACCATGGGCTGTGGCCACACCTATGATCTGAGAACAACTCTGAGTCCTATGTTCTTTCATAATAAAGCAAGAAATTTTTTAAAATATTAATTAAACATTCAATTCATAAAACTAGGAAAAGAGAAATAAATTAAAAGGCAGGAATTACTAATGATAAAAGTAGAAATAAAAGCATTAAAAAACAAAACAGAACAATAGCAACAACAATAGTAGGCTTGGCTTCATAAGGAATGTGAAAATCACCCTGACGCTCATGTTGCTTACATAAACAGTCAGTAAAAGGAGTATTTATGTAGCCAACAAAAGGATTGAGGTAGAGCTATATTTAGTGACATGCTAACATGTCCACAAGATAGCAGTGTTACAGAATAGAACAAATTGCAGAAAACACATATATACTACAGTGAAACCTGTGAGAGCCAGAACTCGACGGGACTGCCTTGCTTTTCCAGGTCTCACAAGATTTCTGTCTTTGACATGGCACAGTCTTACCACTTTTCTTTCGCTCGTTTTAGTGGAAAATATTTGAGTTTTCCTTGTCTGACAGGCTTCTGCATTACAAAGGTTCCAGCTTTCACAGGTTTTGCTGTATAATCTCATTTGTGTAAATTGAGTATTAATAATCAATTGTGTGTGTGTGTGTGTAGTTGTAGTTGTTATTAATTGCTGTTGAGTTGATTCCAACTTGTGGTGACCCCAAGTGTGCAGAGTAGAACTGTACTACACAGGATTTTCAAGTCTGTGATCTTTTGGGAAGCAGATTGCCAGATCTTACTTCCAAGGCATCTCTGGGTGGATTTGAATCGTCAACCTTTTGGTAAGTAGTCTAGAACTTACCATTTATGCCACTCAGGGAAAATATAATGTAGAAAGCAAAAGTCCCTCAAGAATCAGTCAATTCTTTGATGCATATTTGCCCCCTTCATCTCTATGTGTGTATATACAAGGATATATGCATACATAGGGGAGGGTTTACCAGTCCCTGGAGAAGGACATCATGCTTGGTAAAGTAAAGGGTCAGCGAAAAAGAGGAAGACCCTTAGTGAGGTAGATTGACACAGTGGCTGCAACAATGGTCTTAAACATAGAAACGATTGTGAGGATGGCGCAGGACAGGGCAGTGTTTCATTCTGTTGTACATGGGGTTGCTATGAGTCGAACCGACTGAACGGCACCTAACAACAAGAGGGGGAGGCAAATATGTATCAAAGGATTGACTGATTCTTGGTGAACTTTTGCTTTCTACATTATATATTTCTGTATTTTAATTTTATATAACTGACATCGAATTGCTTTTGTATTTAGAAAAAATCATTAAATACATAGAAAATAAATTAATAAATCTAATTTCTCTGATTATTTCTAAGCTTTACTTAAAATTTGAGCTGGGCCTCATCTGTTACATAGGTTGCCAATTAGAAATGGATACATTTTCTATATGAGCATTTATATATACATAGTATTCAGAAACTGGAGTGGTATTCAAAGCCAATTCCTTAGTACAAGGGGGAAAAAGATAAGACAATGTATAGTTTATCTTAAGGTTAATACTTAAATCTCCCAAAGTAAAATTGCACTAATATTGACAATTCTAACTGCAATAAGTGAATTTCCTTCCTCCTTTTATATTTTGTAATCTGCAAATTCAAAACTTCCAATAACTTGTTTCCATGTAGTGCTCCCTTCTCACGCAGTGCTGCCTTCTCGTGCCTTGCTCATAGGTAGGTACGTGCTTGCAAATCATGGAGGAACCATAGACATTTATCAGGCACTTTGTTAGTAACAAAATTGCATTTCACCAAGATCAGCAGAGTCAAAGAGCATGCTCATAAGGTGGTGATAGGTCTCATCAGAATGGAAAATCTGGAACAATATGCTAGAAATCACAAAGCATTCCAGGAATATTCCAGATGTTTCTAATGACATGTGACTTGTTTTTCAAGCAAGGTGATTAAAATGGAGCACCTCCATTTATTTGATTATTTCTCCAGGTTGATGATGCTGAAGAACCTGACAAAACAGGGGAGAATAAAGTACCCAGTAAGTTCCAGTCCATAGGAGTGCAAGTAGAAGAAGAGAAGTGGTGAGTCCACCTGCATTCCTCCTCTTTAGTCTCCGTGTTTGGCGAGAATGAGACAAGTATTTTTCCCCATGGTAAACCTACAAGTTTCAATGATGTTTTCCACTCGTTGACTTTTTGGAGCTTTTAGAGGGTAAGCTTGACTCAATATTATCTAATTCCCGTCTACACCTTAGTAATGGAGACCTATATGTTAGCTAATTCCCTCCTATACTTTGGAGCTAAGTTTTAGATAGAATAAAATAGTAGGCATATCACATACATAAACACTGTGTTTGGTACTTTTGAATTGCCAAACTCTTCCTCTTCAAAAAACCACTTCATTTTAGAATGTAGACTTCTTATGGGTAGAGGAATTATTCTATTTTTATTTCTAGCACTTAATAGTATCTGGTGTTTAGTATGTGCTCAATGAATGATGAATGAATGAATGTAGAGGAGGAAAGAGAAGATTCCTGCCCACCCCCCTTTCCTATCATTATCCTGAATCACCAGTTCCTTTAGATTGCTGGTGGCACAGTGGTTAAGAGCTATGGCTGCTCACCAAAAGGTCAGCAGTTTAAATCCACCAGCTGCTCTTTGGAAACCCTATGGGGCAGTTCTGCTCTGTCCTATAGGGTTGCTAAGAGTCGGCATCAACTCCACAGCAACAGGTTTTTTAGTTTAAAGTCTTGCTATGTAGAGTGGGAAACTTAGGATCTCATAAGATCACAGAATCCAGGGGCTAGAAGGGACTTCTGAGGTCAGTACTTTCACTTTATGAATGAGAACTTGATCCAGAGAGGTATGTGAGTTTCTCAATCAAACTGTGAGTTCTTTGATAGATAAAACTATGTTTTATTGATAGTAATACACCCAGCGTCCAGCACGGTGCTTTGCACATACCAAGTATACAGTGTACATTGACTAAATGAAGTATAACTGGAGTTACGGTAGGAGAAAGAGTGCTAGATTATAAACTGCGATCTCATTCAACTTTGCCACTAACTTTCTGTGTGTTAACTAGGGGGAATCATTTGGATGTTCATTCATTCATCCATCCATGATCTGCCATCTATCCATTCAATAAATATCTATGGAATGACTTCTGTATGCAAAACTACATGTGGCATAAACTGAAAATCTGAACAAAAGTGTCACATCAGTTCATGGAAAGAGGGTGTCCTGAGTATTGTTTAAGAGCCTCCTGGTATTGATGCTGCACTTGCATCTAAGAAGTTTTAAATGTAATTTAAACATATGCATGTATGTGTGTGTATACATATACACATATGTATTTTTAATTACATTTAAAATAAAACCTCTCTATTAAAATATACATTGTGTGTTATAAATATATGTTTAAATTACATAAATATGTACATATATATGACAATAGTTAGCAATAGTTATATATCTATCTATATCCATTGACCCAGTAATCACATTAATGGGGCTATCCTGAATCGAATCATTCAATGGAAGGGAAACAATTATGGAACATTATCTAAAATTGTAAAAAACAAAACTTAATTATCAAACGTCAAAAAATAAGAGAATACTTTCCTAAATTACAGCACATCATCAACATAGAAGAGTATACAGCTATTAAATGTCATTTGAAAAGAAGAGGCAGAAACATGGGGAAATGCTCAGCATATAATGTTCATTGAAAAAAGTTGAATATATAATACCCATGTTCAGTATCCATAAAGATGGACAAGGACTGAGTGACTCTTCTTTTATGCTAAAACATTTACTTATTGTATTTCTTCAAGTTTTAATAATCATTGTTTTCAAGTGAACCATTTCGGCACATGCTCCTTTAATTCAACATTTTAGAGATTTTTTGAAAATGTACCTTTGTTAGACATGAAAGATCCATAGTAAGAAAACATCTCCCTCCTTTTTCCTCAGCATCGCTTGTTTTCCTCAGTGATGTAATGGTTAAGAGCACAGACTCTGGGGCAAGAATACCTGGATTCAAATCCTGGCTCTCCACTTACTAATCTTGAACAAATTACTAAGTATCTTTACGCCTTGGTTTCCTTATATGTAAAAAGTGTTCCCCTTCGAGTGTTGTCTTGCATGTGCTGTTTAGTATATGTAAAACTTCTAGAACAAGGTCTGACACACTGTAAGCACTGCATAAGTGCTTCCTATTCTATCATACACCCAAATAGAATCTCTCTAAGATACACGTTTTAAGAAAGCAATTCTATCACTTTTTTTTCAAAAGAGAAAGTCATCTCAATCTTTTATTTTACTTCAAACATTTCCGTTACTGTCAACTAGTTTATCTTACCAAGTTCATGTCCTGACACTTGTCTAGCTAAAAAAAAGCTAAATAATGCGTTATTTGGACATAGCTAACAGCAACTCCAAAACTTCAAATATCATGTTATTAAAAAGTTAAACATTTAATGAATCATTAAAGTTTGTAGGATGATCAGTTCCTCATTAAACTGAGTAATGTATTTAAAATTTACCCCCTCCCCCCTCAAAAAGGGCTGGGAGACCATTTTTGGTGCTTAATTTTCTAAAACATATCCTTTCCTCAAAAGTCACTTTATAGTTAATCACAGTAAAATAAATAAGCATTTAAGTTGATGTTAATGATTGTTTTGAACCTCCACAAACGAAATCCATTATCAAACAAGCTCAACCTGGATTACTTGTATCTTCTGTCTCCGTAATTCTTTTTTACAATTTTGCTGGTTGTAATTCATTTAGATAGGATCTTAAAAAACAAATTTGGGCAGATGAGATTACCCCGACAGTTGGAGGATTTTTTTCTTTTTAATTTCCTGGTGATAAAGATAAGACTGCTAATGTTTTCACACTGGATGGCCAATAGCAATCTCTCTGTTCCTTCCCCAAATAAACAGACTGATAAAAGACAGCAATCTAACAAAAAGTAAGAGAAAGAACCAAAATAGAGCCAGAGAAAGAAGGAGATAGTACAAAGAGGGGAAGATTAAAAGACTTTGTAAAAGGCCAAGAGACTCATTATCACCTTTTGACTCATCACAGTTTAGGAACGAAGCTAACACCTCAAACTCCACTTAACTGATTTATCTACAAGGGGAGAACTTGTAAATTTGGGGTGCTGTTTGGTGTTCCAAATTAAAACAAAAGGAATAAGTTAATAACCCATTAGTAAGAAACAAAATGCACCCCATAACCAATCCGCTGCAAGAAAAAGGACTCAAAATGGAGCATTACGAATCTTCCTGGTGCATTTGCATGTAATGTAATATACAGTGACAATAACCACGCCACCTCCCTTCTCTGGGGCTGTATCATGATGGGGTCTTTGGATAGAGAAGTGCTGTTTAAAGGCCACTAGTTTGCATGTTAGGGCAGAGCCAGGCCAGAGATAGTGAATGAATATGTGGATTTGAAATAAGACTACTTCTCTTAAGCCAATGAAGGTAAGTGTCATTTTCATCAAATGTTGGCTATCTTTCCCCAATTCCTGTTTTACAGGCTGGTTAGTGGCACTTTTCTACGGGATCCACCAGCATATATTTGCTGATATGCAGAACTGATGTTAAGCACAGCAGGCAAATCTTGCTACCCTCCCCCCGCCACTTCAGGGACACTCACCCTCCCCTGAAGTTCTCTGAACTAATGCCTCCAAGCCTCCTTGCCCTCATGCTTTCTCATCCTTTTGACCACTTCCCAGGAATTTTTGGATGAGGTTCTCTTTAACTTTCAAGGTGGTAATTAGCAAATCTAGTAAACCAATCCTTCCTATTTATAAGGTAACTAAGAGTCTCCCAGGAGTCTCTCTTTTCCTTCTTAGTAACAGTTGTTATTTTAACAGTGGCCTCAAACTAGACTTTCTTACATTAGCCCACTAGTGATTCTAAGACTCTAAGATGGACACTAAGAGGAAGAATATTATTATTTTTCTATAAAAGTAATATGTAATTTACTTGGGGAAAAACATATAGCGGCATGCTAACATTTTATAATTCTCTGATGGATTTTACAGTAATTGACTATATATATATATACTGTAATAGACTATATATATGTATGTCTATATGTATGTGCATATATATATGCACGTGTGTGTGTATATATATATATATATATATATATAGTTGTTGTCGTTAGGTGCCATCTAGTAGATTTTTGACTCATACTGACCCTACGTGACAGAGTAGAACTGCCCCATAGGGTTTTCTAGGCTGCAATCTTCATGAGAGCAGATTGCCAGGTCTTTTCTCTGAAAAAGCCACTGGGTGGGTTTAAACCAGCAACCTTTCGGTTAGCAGCCGAGCACTTAATCATTGCATCACCAGGGCTATCTCTTTTCTCTCTCTATGTATGTGTGTGTGTGTGTGTGTGTGTGTGTGTGTGTGTGTGTGTGTATGAAGAGAGCCCAGGTGGCACAGTGGTTAAAGCATTCGGCTATTAACTGAAAGGTTGGCAGTTTGAACCCACCAGCCACTCCACAGAAGAAAGATGTGGCAGTCAGCTTCCATAAAGAATTACAGCCTTGGAGTCTGAGGTCTTAAAAGCCTGTGAGCGGCCATCTAAGATACTCCACTGGTCTCACCCCTTCAGGAGCAAGGGAGAATGAAGAAAACTAAAGATACAAGGGAAAGATCAATCCAAAGGACTAATGGACCACATCTACCACAGCCTCTGCCAGACTGAATCCAGTACAACTAGATGATACCTGACTACTACCACTGAGTGCTCTGACAGGGATCACAACAGAGGGTCCCAGACAGAGCTGGAGAAAAATACAGAACAAAATTCTAACTCACAAAAAACGACCAGACTTACTGGCCTGACAGAGACTGGAGAACCCTTGAGAGTATGGCCCCTGGACACCCTATTAGCTCAGTAATGTAGTCACTCCAGAGGTTCACCCTTCAGCCAAAGATTAGATAGGCCCATAAAACAAAACAAGACTGAAAGCACACAACAGCCCAGGGACGAGGACTAGAAGGCAGGAGGGGACAGGAAAGCTGGTGATAGGGAACCCAAGGTCGAGAAGGGAGAGT